TATGCCCTAAAGGTGTCGGGCTCATATATATATATATGTTTTATTTATCTATCGACAGCTTTGCCATGTCAGACGAGGTAAGAGGTTGCCTCGCCACCGCAGCAAACCAACCAAAGCTCGACCCTGTATGGCACCGTTGACAAGATTCTTCGTTTAACAAACTCCAGCAACAAGTCCGAGCCCGTTGCGTTCTCCACCTCTGTTTTGCCAGAAACGTGCTGGCCCACCAACATCAAGCCATGCCGAACCATAATGGTTTCCCAGAGCTGTATGCCTGGCCCAGCCAGCAAGCAAATCAGACATCGACAGACAGTAGACAGTCAAGAAGCACCGAGAGCCGTCGGGCCAACCCGCTAGGGAGACATTTCTTGATGAAGCCGTCCACTGGCTGCAGAATGAGGCTGCGGGCCGAACCCTGCCGCGAGCGAAGCTCATTGAGCTGTGCGGCGGTGAGAAGTTTCCAGTGCTGATTGCGATGGCCCGGAGATAAGACGCTTCCGGCTACTGGACCATCAGCACCCGACGAGCGGTGCCTCAAGCTCGTTGATCAGCACACCGTAGTCGGAGGGCGGAAGCTCCACCTCGACTGCGGAGACACTGGCAACCGCCCGACTGTTTTTTTTTGTTGTGGGGCCCCAGCTTCTGGAAAGAGGTCGCCGGTGATGCCCAGGAACAACGGGATGTCGTTTCGGGTGAACTTAGGCAGGTTCACCTTGGTAGTTTGGGGGGGAACTGTGACACGTGGACCTTTCGGATGCATTCCCTTCCAAGAGCTCTGCATCGTTCAGCGCAGACAGTGCCAAGACCTATCATGCGGCTTGACTCAAAATACGAGCGTACTATACCAGGTGGAATCTGATATAATTCTTATAAAATCTTATGCAGTATAAACTGGTGTAACGGAGGGAATGGAAATGAGTGGAATGCATGGAAAGGAGTCGAGTGGAGTTAAATGGAGTGGATTAGAAGACAATAGACCATGATACAACTCCAAACAACACAGCAGAACATACCATTAAATAACACAACATAGCACAGCATAACATAATTAATCTGCAATATAACATAACATAAATGTACTACATAAATAAATATATATATATATATAGCACGGTATAAATGTACCGCAACATGGCAAACACAGTAGAATACTGAAGTAGAGCGATATGAAGTAGAGATACGTGTACATATATATATATATATATATGCATATATGTATCATGCTATAATATATATATATAACATAATAAAAAAACATAAGACCATATAACATAATAGAGCGGAACAGAAAATAGTAGGACGGTATATAATCTGACATAGTATCATATCAGAGTGCAGCGTATCGCAAAATGACATGATAAGATATGATAATAAGTTTGCACTGCATGGTGTGTTCGATGAGTCTGGTGTGCTACAACATGATATGGTGTAGTATGGGGCATCGTACAATATAGTATGGCATAGTCTGTTGTCATATATGTCATCATTACCAGGTATGATCATTGGAGCTGCCTCGGAGCAATGGTGTGGGTCGTTTCAAAAAATAGAAGAATAAGGACTCGACCTTGAACCATAATATTGAGCGCCCAAAATTTGAGGCGCTTCTTTATGCCAGCCTTACCGAATGTCCTTTTGGAGCCGCGGCTCAGAAGGAAATAAGTGTTCGGCAAAGGTCTTGCTTCGTTGAAGTTGCAGTGCCTTGTCTGGGTTGAAGCTTACCATATACCGAAATCAAGGTTCCGCAGCGAAGCTCCAAAGACAACACATCAAGCCGAAAGCCAAGGCTAGGATTCGTTTCGAACTACGCGACTCTTCAACTCCAGCCCGGGGTTTTGCTGCGCCTGCTCTGGCCGGCTGCCACCGTATTGACGGCGGAGAGCCCCGGCCTTTTGCAGCGTTTGGGGTTCTGGGGTTTAGGAGCTTTTAGGGTGTAGGGCATTGGGTTTTGGATCCCTGCTTAATTAGTCCGAGCCCACGGCTCGAACAAGTATCGACTTCAGCGCCCGCATGCCGAAGTCATAGTGCTCCTTCACTTTTCATCACATCGAAAGCTTTAAAAACCGAATCATCGGCGGCCCAAAGCAACCTATTTCCCACCTGCGAAGAGAGCTGCTCGGAGCTCAGACGAAGACTGCCCACAGCCTTGTTTGCAGAGGGAAAGATAGACCCCAAAAGTCTAGGAAGAAGAAGAAGAAGTGCTGGAAGCACATCGTGCCCCCGCCTTTCGGGCAAGATTTTTGGCATCCTCAAATCCTCGCGAGGCTTCAAGCTGCCATGCTGAAAACTTGCTTGAACCAGCTTTGGCAACAAAGGCATCTCTGGGTCAGCATAGTGATCAGGAGATGAAACGGTCCGTTGGAATACAAGACAATCTCACCGATGAGGGCATAGTCTGGCACCTGAGCTGCTCGTGAAATACGAGGTCTCTGTCTCTGATGCTGCACCCTCATTCGGCGAGGCAGCGGCCATCATGGCACAAGGCCGGAAGAGTGCCTTAGCAGGCAAAATGGTCGGGTGGAGTTCGACCTCGGGCGTTCTATGACGCCCACTGCCAGCAAGCCTTGAGGTTATCCGGCAGCTCCGATCGCCCGGCATAACCTCTCCCAAGCTGCAGACTCGCTGGCTTGCAACCTTCATCATCGGACAAGGCCTGGATTCATGGTGATGTTCACCGCGCAGGAGGGCACCAACCTGACCAGATGCTCCAATACTGGAGACATCGTCTCCATCTCCATCGCTTCTGAAGTGGGGCTCGCCTAATCTCCATCTCTTCGAACCAGAAGGTCTCCCTCTTGTCTCGAATGGCGAACTGGATTGTCTGCACCTCGAGGCAAAGGAAGCGCAACCCGGCCATTTGTGCCGTGAGATGCTAAGGGGCAGATGAAGATGCTGGCGAGTGAGGTGCCATGGGGACACGATGGCAACCGAGACAGGCTTGGCCCTCAAAGTCCTATCAAATGATGTCTTAGCAGTTTCCAGCGGTGCACCTGCTGCGAGACCACGGACAGGACCTGACCAATCTAGCCGCTCCAAAAAGCAGAGGCACACAGAGATGCACATCGCGCACGGCCTCGAGGTTGATGCGGTTGAACTCGTCGAAGCAGCACCAAGCACCGGAGGATGCGATGCCTTTGAAGAACTTTCCCATGGCCTCTGCCAGCTTGCTTTGCTCTCATCTTCAACTTCAACCAATCTTGTAGTCGCAGCCCTCTGAGACCAAAGCAATGTAGTCTAAGCCATCTGAGCAGTTGAAGACCTGAGCTGGACTGATGCTGGCCTTCGCACCCCGAAGTCAATCCGAGCTATTTCCGTTGAGACTCAGCAGAAGTCGCTGGGGCCCGTGCAACACACTGCACAGCCACTGCCTTCGCCAAATCCTGCAGGCGGCTACAGATGTCACTTGCGAGAAGCCACGAAGCTCGCGGAAGCTGCATGGCTTCGGCAGCAAGATTGCATCAGTTTTCGAGACATTGGTCGATGCCACGGCATTCCGGGTCCTTGGTGCTTTCCGTCTTTCCAGTGCCAGCGGGACCTTCCGGGCCACCGCCGTAGTAGAGGTGGAATGCACCCATTAGCCTGGCACATAGGAGGCTGGGAGCCATAACATGTGCCAAAGAATCCAAAGATGTCAATGGAAGCAAGACGTGCAACAAGCGACTAATGCGCGAGACCGCTTTGTGGTGCAAACGCTCCCGGCAATAGCATTGAAACAGGTTGGGCTGACGTGCGGTAGCAACGGTCAGTCAAGGGTGTGATCACCAGGCCTAGCAGCTTAGGTCCGAGGATACCGTCGCAGTCTCATGGCACCAAGCCCAGTTCATCTGAGCACAGCGACGATCGCTGTTTCCCAAGTACTCGAAACCATAGTAGAGGGTGGCATTGATGATTGAGACCTGCATAGCTTCAACTTCTAGGAGCTGCTATGCAGAAGCCGCATCACCCGTTCGACCTCGCACTTGTCCACCGTACTTGGCTTGCCGGTGTCCTAGCATGTCAGGAAAAGAGCGCGGCACTCAATACGAGAGCTACACAAATCACTCGGGCTGGCCTTTAGGGTAATCGAACCCTTCTGGCGCCAGTAGTATCGCAGCTGTGCAATCCAGTCGAAGTCCTGTTGCAAGCACGTGCACGACAGAAGTTTCTTACGGCACAGATAAGGTCACAGTACTGAAGGGCTTCTGTTTTCGGTGCACAGAACTGTGGAATTAGAAGCAGGCAATCTTGCTTGTCAGTTGCTGCCTTGATTTGCATTCACTTGAGTGTCCCAAGTCTTGCGAGTCCACGCCAACTCTCATGCAGGTCATGATCTCCATGGACTTCAAGGGCTCTGAACTTCCGCGGCCAGGCCTTCGAGCTGGAGATCCTGGCATCCTTCAGGCTCAGCACCTCCACACTTTTGCCGTGAAAATCCGTGGGCTTCAGGATTCAAAAGCAGTGGAAAAGAGCCGCCGGCCACGTCACGGTTGTGAACGTCGATAGTCACCAATGCCCCGAGGGTCTGCCTGAAGGAGCAAGTGGCTCTTCCTCTTCAAGCTCTTGGTGTGACCCCAAATGAAAACCCGAAGCCACAAGGCCCCGCACCCTAATCCCAACCCTAAAACCTCTGATCAGAGCCCTGCCAGCTGAACCTTTCTAACCCCGAAACCAGGCCGAAACGGCCCGCCTCGACAGCTTCGACAGATCGCCACGAACCAAATTCACGAGGCCGCTCAGTTGTTCTGGCACTTGAGCAAGGCTTCAGGTTTTTGGAAGCTTGAGTTTACTTGCCGGGGCTTTATCCCAGATCCGCAGATGCGTTTAGGGCTTCAGGTGTGGGGCTTGAGGCAAGGCTAGCAGAATGAAGCAGTCACACAGGCTCGGAATGAGCATCCACACAATCGAGCTGGCCCCATGCAGTTCGCTCACCTTCGTAACCCGCCGGGATGGCCCACGCTTTTCTTGTAGTAGGCTTCGAGTTTTCCAGCCCTGGGCGGCGACGGATACAAAGGCTTCTACTTTCCTGCACCTAGGTGCTTCATTCGCGCAGCGGTTAAGACCTGTTGGCCGAAGCTGCGTTTAAAGGGTTCGTCATAGTGGCATCATGCTGTCAGGCACAATTTTCTCACTTAAGACTGTACCTCATATAAAATTCGGCCCAAATCAATCCCTAAACCCTAAACCCTGGACCACCAAACCCTAAACCCTGGACCACCGAACCCCAACGCCAGGACCTAGCCGAGGCAGCGGCTCGATGGCTACCGCAACCTCTTGGGTCCAATAGACATTGTCGATGCAAATAACGACCTGCCAGTTCAGAGTCCATCATAATCCCAAGACCCCAACCTCTGGAGCCAGATACCCACCAGCAATCTCTAGCGGTATCTGTGACCACCGGAGACATGGGAGCTTCATACGAAAGGAAAGACTTCACTTGGTACTTGCGGGATCCTTCTTCGGTAAGTAGCCACTAAACCTTACACCCCAAATCCCACGAAGCGCCAACTTGTCAGGGCCTGGCCTGGCCGGGCCACTCGAGCACCCACTGGGTTCCTCGGTCGCTCACGGCTCAGCTTCACAAAAGAGCTTATGGGCTTCAGGGGGCTTTAGGGTTTAGTGTGGAAGCCCCGAGCTTCCCAAGATTCGACGGGCAAGCTTTTACACCTGACGACCATTCCGCCGCTACCCGCCCCCGCCCCCCCACCCTGCAACGGACATTTTCCATCGGGCGTGGAAGCATCCGACTTCAGGAACAGCTCCACTTGCTGTGCCTTGTCCTTTCCCGAGGCAAAAGCTCCTGGCAGTGGCAGCGATGCTTGCCCTCTGCTGCGAAATCTAAAGCCGGCCTTGCAAATAACCAGACCATCTCGGGTGGAACGCTTCTCCGGCAAAGAATAGCCTCGTTGCAAAGCCTACGATCTCTGCCGGTGATCTTCTCTCATCGTGACAGATGGACCTTCCATGTCTTGCGTTGATCACCTCCCAGCTGTTCTCCGTCATGGAGTTGGTGGGCAGAAAGGAGTAGGAACCCCTGAAGAAGGGATCGGAAGACCAGCGGGTGGCCTGACGAGGCGCATGAAGCAGACAGCATGTTTAGCTTCCAAATCGCACATATATACTATATACATTTTATATATATATATATATGTGGATACACGCATAGACAATATGTGGCCTCGACTTCGACGATGGCGGGCGGGCGTTCATGCATCTCCTGAGGTTGCTACAGCCTATTTCTGGGCTGCTGGCATTCTACTCCCATGTTGTATATACGCGGCTTCACAAGCCTTCTGCAGCAGCACGACCCTGGAACTTCAGCAGATCCAAAACCAGACTCGGAGAATAGCTGCATTACAGGCGCTTCGAGTACGAGTGCGAGCTCGTGCTTCAACTCCTGACCGGAGTGCTCCGTCAAGAAACAACGCGCTGAGTCCCTTGAGCTGCCCCCGCTAGAGCTCCACACCTTCAGGTCGATGTCTAGATACATCAACTCCCTTCAAGCTCATGCACCAGTCGCAAACCCGCCCCTGGACCAAGCAAAGCCCGACAAGCCAAAATCAGATTTTCTTCGCACACCCTAAACCCTAAACCCCTCAACCTTAAACCCTTAATCCGTAACCTCTACAGAGGCCTCGGTGCGGAGCTGCTCGGCACGACGCCCCTCGTCACCGGTGACCGTGACGATAGCCAGGTCAGGCTCCAAAGGCTGCCATACCTCGGAGACAAATTTCAACAAAAACTTCACGGTTTGTGGCTTAAGGCTTTGGGCTTAGGGTTTAGGGCATAGTGTTCGTTAGTCTTTTGTTACTCCTGCGTTGGATTATGCTTGGCACTGCTCTTGTACTGTGGCTGGAGGGTTTTCATGATTTTGCACCTGTTCCAGTAAATCATCAAAGTTCTGAGCAAAGACTGTTCTGCAAGCTTTAGTGTCACTCTAACCAGTATCATCATTGTTGTGGTTGTGGTGGTTGTCCTTGTTGTTGCTGTTATTGTTGTGGCTCATTATCCTGAACAACAGCCAGCCGACAAGACACATGTTCCAACCCCAGCGTCTGGAACCTCGACCTCCAGCTCAAAGACGAGGAAACCCTAAGCACCTCAAGCCTCAAGCTGCCTCAAGCGAGTGCTGAAGGCCGTCGAGCGGCAGCCCAGCGACCGCGCGGCGGGCCAGCGCGGAGGACATAGTGGAGGCCCGGCTCCTCGCCAGTTCTGCGCTGCGGGCACGATGGCAAAAAGACTCAGATTCATGTTCGGTTTGCCAACCCAGGGACCCACAAGGCCCCTTCCAGCTTGACGAAGACCTTGGTGTAGTTGCACATCCTCCTTAGCACACTCAGGCCGGACTCTCGCATCTGCGGTAGCTTCTCTGAGCTAGTTCCGTGGCTACCATATTGCTTTTAAGCAGTCAAGAGTTTGCAGAAAAGCATCATGGAGCCAAGTGCGGCCGTCATTGGTACTGGCAGCGGCGGGTCGAAAAGTATATCAGCAGCATTGATGACACCAACACTCACCTGCGCTGGTGGCCGCGTTTCCGGTCATGCAAGGCTTGATGCCGCCTAATGGCGCACGTGATAGATGCATCCGTGAAGCTGTGCACAGTACGCTTCGAGCAATTACTTGCCGCCCATCCCGGCAGCAAACCTTCGCCGAAAAGCTGAGCTGAAGTCTGCATGACAAGCATGCCAAAATGGCCGATTCCCCGTCTCCCGTTCCTTGACGTGGTCCGCAGATTGAACCACTCGATCCACGATCGAGTTCAGAAGAACTTCTGCGGCTCCTTTTTGGAGGCTGTTGTTTTTCAGAGCATCTTGCACAAGAGTACCGGAACAAGATCTGTGATAGTGTCACTCGTGCCGTTCTTTTTCCACCCACTGAGACCAGCTGGAGGTCGAAGGTTCTTCGAGCTCCTCGAGAGCCCGTGTGGATCTGCGATCTGCCGGAGCCATACTCCGAAGGACTTGCATCAGGTCAGCCGGCAAGGGAGCTGTGACAGACCGACGGGGGACGGCGCAAGGCTCAGGGTCGTCGTGCGTGCTCACGGGCTCCAGAAAGTTGAGTGCAAAGCAATGGAGAAAGACCTCAAGAAACTGAGCAGCTAGTTCAGTGGGGGTGGGTTCTGTGCAAAAACACAGCCTACCCGACTGGTACTCCGAGATGTCCCAGGTACTCGTTGGCAAGAGTCGTCAACAACCTCGTCGCCCGTTGCATAGAGCGAGTCCCCGACCTTCTGGCGAGAAGTGACGGTGAGACTTCGATGCATCGGGCCTTATGGTACAATTATGCTCAGGCATCTTTTTGAAGGCTTACCCTCCCGAACTCCGAGGCGTCAATCCCCGTTCTTGCAGGTGTGTACCACGCGCGTTAAACCGACACCCACATGTCCCTGTCTCTTTTCCATCTCCCACATGACCCCGGACGAGGGCTAAAACGACGAGGGTCTCCACAATAGCCAAAGGGCAATCGGATGGCCGATGTGCGAGACGTGGCTGCGAATTTGATGTGTTCGCCCAGTCCGCGGCTCTGCAAGCAGCAGTGACATCGGGCCTCCGCCTTAGACGACTGCTTGGTGGCGCGCTTTCAGCAAGCAGCGCAGGCCTGGCCTATGCCATGCAGATGAGCAATTGCTCGAATTCCAGTTTCGGCCGACCTGCACACAAAGAAGCGCGAGCCATGCTCTTCTGAGTCCATGAGCAACATGCAGGGCACTTGGAGGACCTTCCAGAGTCATGGTTGACCACTGACTTGGAGCGAACGGACCGTAAAGAGTCGGAGTGCGGAATGCGCTGTAGTTGAAGGGGCATGTCAAGGCGTTGCCACTGCCGTGGCAAAAATCCGTGGACCAAAGCCAGATACCGCTTGCGAACATCCTGCGCGGAAAAGTCCAAACGTAGCCGCCAGTAGCTGTGAAATGTCTTTGCAGCAAGCAACGCACCGCTTGTCTCCAGGTCTAAGCGATGGACAAGACCGTGATCCACAGAGGGATCTTGCGACACGGCCCTCTCCCAACCCAGGCGCTGCAAGTAATGAGAGATGGTTGGAGGCCTCTTGCGACCCTCTGCCAGCAGGCCTTTTCCGGAAATCGAGGTGGCACAGGACCAGCCCGATGGCTTCGAGAGGACAACTGCGGTCTCCAAGTCTGCCAGAATGCCGGGACAAGGCGAAGGCCAGTTTCTGTCGCAAGCAGGCGCAGCAGGCGTAGCCAGGTGCCGAGAGCATCCGGCGTCGGAATCACCCCTGCCGGCCGCTGCATCCATTCTCTTTCGCAGAGTCTGCAAACAGCTTTCGTCCATGACGCGCGAGTTTGCCAACCCGGATGCCAGATCCACAAGCTCAGATGCCGAGAATGCTTGAAGCTTCTGCATGGCACTTTGCCGAAGCTGCATCACAGCCCTGTTCTTCTCGCAGCTTACACCAGAGCCGTAAAGCAAGCCGCTCAGGTTTGCAATCGCCTTGGGACTGAGCGTACCGGATCGAGCAAGAATCTCGTCCTCAAGGAATGCGGCAAGCCTGTGGTGCATGTAACAAGCCAAACAGATCTCAAAGAAAAGATCTCTTGCGGGCGGCTTAGTTTGCCCGGCCTTCCCGTCGGGTCTTGTCGTAGAGCATGCGCATAACCAGACCCTGCCGCCCCAGTGCCAGGCCGAAAAGTGCACAGCCCTGTCACCACCTGCCCGCTGCACGAGCATGTTTAGGATTTAGGCGCTGGCCCCAGTATGCAACAGTGCATTTGGAGCACAGCACATCTCTTCCAACCTCTGCGGCCAACGACCGCAGCGAGCTCTCGGGAGTTTGCTTTGCGGCAAAGCCTCGGGAGGTCTCTCCAAGCCGCTGAGCCGCTGCGCTCCGACTCACAAACTGCCTTGCCAACGTCAAGTCACAGGCGGCCACGGCTTTCGGAGAACGAGCCACATGCCGCAGCGCTGAAGATGATCCTCAAGGCTGAAACACAGGAGGCAGAGGGAGAAGAGAGAGAGAGAGAGAGAAAGCTCTGGAGAGACAGATACGACGACGACGACGGCGAGCTGGAGGGCTACGACATCGAAAACCTTCGAAGCAAACAAAGCCTATCTCCCTCGCTATCCGCGATAGGATCGAGCCGGGTCTCCATCAGCGGCGTCTGCCAGAGTCACAGAAAATAGGCGGCGCCCAGGCAGGTAGACAAGTGACCCATGAATCACAGCTGATGTACGGCCGGGGATAGTTCCCACCATGGAAGACGGCACAGCTGTGTGCAAGTGGACTCTGTGGCCCACAATGTGCTTGAACACAGCTTGCAGATGTTTGCAGGTAGGCACACTCGTCGGAAATTGCAGTTGCTGCAGCCCCAAACCTTATTTGCTATCCGCTCACGGCAAGGGTGGAAGGTATGGCAGCCCAGTGCAGCATGTCCTGGCACTGCCGGCGCAATCGTCCCAAAACCCCGAGGATCATCCACGAAAAATGTCTCCTCACCTCGGCTAGTTGAACTTACAACGACCACGGTTGCACCCTCGTCGGGATGCCCAGGCTATGGACTTTTGCAGAACTGCGCTGTCACGTGCGAGCCCATTCGATGCTGCCAGTCTGCCACACGAACACAGAATCAGCGCTTAAGAACTCCGCCGAAATCGTTTCGAGTGTGCTCTTCGTGGACGTTGTGCTTGACAGAGATTTTGTCAGGGCCTCATCTGTGCTCTCGAGATTTGAGACTTTGCTATCGCTGGTCCGGGGTCTGAGCTAAAAACTTTCGCCATACTCGAAGTCCACGAGCAAGAACTCCACGGCCATGTCTATGGCGGTGGCAGCAGGAGGCCACCCTGGAAGGACCAAAGAACGAAACGCTTCGACGGTTCACGAAGGCTCGTGTCCTGGCCTTGTTGCGCCAAAGCATCCGCGAGACTGAGGTCGGGCTGTGAGCCCTTGCCGGCCTCAAGCCGTGCTGAGCTTTCAGACGCGCTTGACCCCCAAAGCCGCATTTGCCCACGCCTCGCTGCCCTCCACCTTTCCAAAGCATGCTGAGCACTTCCGCACCCGTACAAAGACCGCTGCGATTCTCCGAGTGCCAGACCGACTCCTGAGCGCTCTCCAAAACCTGCACTTAGCCACCCAATATGCCACACGACAAAGACCACTAACTGCGTCCAGGGCCGACTCGGGCCTCCATGCGTTCGCCCGTCTCCTTCGTCACATCCTCGGAAGGCTCAGGCCGCATGCCACAAGCTTCACCTCCCCTTCATAGGGACTCAAGTGAACCGAACAATGTGCCGGGTGTCCACAGGCCCGTCGCTGCCTCTGAGCAAGCAGACCGTGGCGGCTTCATCGTCCTCCGTGTGTCCCTGTAGGTTGCACCTCGCAGCAGCCAGCTTGGGGCGAACTTGCATAGATAGGCTGTCTGTGTGGGAGCTGCTTGCAGCCAAACTGCTCTCGTGCACGGGTCCATATTGGATTCTTTCCCAGCCCTTGAACCCAGTTGGCTCCTGGATAAAGAGGCTATAGAAATGGTGATGTTTCTCAACTGGCCGCACGGTGATCTTTGCCGGCATCCACTGTCCTTCTTCCAGCTTCCGGCCACAGAAATCTCTGCTACGAAGGCGACCTGCCAAACATGTAAGTCTCAATTCGGGCGGGGCTTCATGCACCTATGGCCCAGACCGGAGCAGAACGGAAGAAGTTGGAACCTCCTAGGCGAGCAGAGGCTTCCAGCAGCACGCAGCGGTGTGCTGCAGCCAGATGCTCCTTGCAGGACAGGAAATCCGGCCCTCATCTACCTAGCTAACTTACACATACGCATACTGATTCAGCGGGGGTTCCATGCCACAGAGGGCTTAAAGCAGCGAGATCTGCTTGAAGGACCCGCGTAATTCAACGAAAAGCATGTTTACTTCCCTCGTTTTCAAGCCCGTGGCGCACCAGAGCAGTTAAGCCGGCCAATCCGCCACCTGGCAGTGCCAGAAGGAACTTTACTCTGTGGGCCGCCCGCTCGTCTCTCTCCCTCGCCTATGATGCACACGTCGGCGACATCGGCCATGTCATCGCTCCAAGCAGAGTCGGCCATGGTGGAGGCGGCACATGCTTCCAGTTTATATCTGACTATGTTAGGCGGTGGAAGACCGAAGCGGGCTAGCACAAGCAGCGGCAACCCCTTCGTCTTGCGGTGAGCCACTTCTGGGATCAGTACCATCTTCTGAGCGCTTGGACATGAAGTGAACTGGAGGCTAAACCGTGAATGATGTGAACGCAGCAGGCCAAGACATACGAGCGATTGCACGCGAGGGCCCCCGCGTTGTGTCTTCGCATAGGCCAAGAGGGAACTGCCGGTCACCTTCGTCAGGCTGTCGATCATGGAGCCTCACCAAAACGATGCAAGTCCAAGGTCCGAGGGTACTTACACTGGCTACCACTGTTCCAGCTCGCTGGTGGCACCTTGCACCTCCATCAACCACTTCTCCACGTTGCCCTTCCTTGACAGTCGGCCCCACTTGCAATTCTCGGATCCTGAAGCTTTGGGAGGGGCTGAGGTCCCGGCTTCTCTCCTTCGACCACGTTCACGGGCTGGGCGAGTTCGACCACCTCACCCTCTACAGACCTGGACCACGGAGGCAAAGAGAGCAAGAATGAAAGCTTGAAGCTCCCAGGAGTCAGACGACATGGCTTCGATGATCTCGTTTGTGTTGTTGAAGCGAACTCTGCTGATGCCTGGGCAAGTTCAGAAACCTGGATCCACCGGATCTGCAAGAATTGATGCCGACTGTCTCTTCGGCTGGGTTCTTGTTGAGGTTAAGGAATGACGGCAAAAATACTATAATCAGGATCTATACTTAACACTCTGGTTTCCATTATGGTAGCTGAAACTGCTTAACAACAACCCAATCAGCGGCTGCGAGATGCAAACCGAGGTCTGAGGCCGCAAGAGCCATGTCCTGACACTTCCTGGGCGACGAGCCTTCGAAGCACTTCCCCATGTGCGGCTGAACCTGGCGGGAAGTCTGGCATCGATGTGCTGCGCAACAACTATTTGTGTTTGACCGAGAATGCACACGGGACAGGTGCACGCACAATTTCTGGGCGCTTGGCCGCTGTCGGGTCCTTGGTCTGGGACAGGATCATGAGCAGCTCATCCTGCAAGCATGGTCTGTGCAGGAGGCTAAAACTGTGTGGACTAGGATGCAAATTCTGATGCTACAAAGAGCCGTAAAGCCAGTCACTCGACAGGAAGAAGAAGCGCGGAAAGGCCAAGCGCTTTGTGTCCAGGTAGTCGTTTAAGCCTGTCAACATTGCCCATGTCGGCCAAGGAAATCCAACGCCATGGAAGACATATCACGGTTCATGCCCAGCAACCCAGAAACACCCACGCTCGCTGTCAGTGCTTTTTGAACCACCGACGAGCAACACCACTGGCGCCCACATCTAATAGAAGGGCCTTAATGATTAGAATAGGGTTTTGGGGCCCATTATGCTATGAATAGCATAAGGAGCCCGCAGGAATAATATAGGTAATTATTTAGGCTTCTATATTAAACAACCCGTCCCCCATGAATCAGGCGGAAACCTTTAGCCGCCATGGTTTGGGCTCGTGGGAGTGGGGGTTCGCTTCGTTCATGTGCTGGGATAGCAGGACCGAAATCTTCAGGATCCTGGGCTTGATTCCAGATGTACCCTGTGTTCGATAGTGTCCGCCAGGATGGGGCTAGTGTCATCTGCTTCTTGCTGGTGATTAGGTTGGTGACAAGTCATCATCGTCTTGTTGACCGGTCGTGAGTCATGCTCCAAGAAACGATGAGTTAGCCAATCTCGGATTCCGATCTTGGCCACAAATATGGATGTTCCATAGCACAAAAACGAGGTGATGCAAAGGCAATCTTCATGTGATTGCAGAGAAATAGATCTCGCAAGTCCATGAACACCGCATTTCGAAGCCTTTGACATGACTAATACCGTGTATCCTTGCAAGAGAAGGCCGAGCCGAAACCTCTCGAAATCGTCAAGGCGAACCTGCTGATGTACTGCTTGTCCGATTTCGTCGACCGCGAAAACGGACAGAAGCTAGTGACACGGCCTTGCAACTGATGATAAAAAGGTCCATATGACTTATCGACGCAACCGACAAGCACCCATGACAGAACCTGCAAAGAACCACAAACCTGCAGCAAGAAATCGCTGAAGATCGAGAAAGGACGAAACCCGAATGAGATTTCGGACACAGGAACAAGGAACATGGGGTGGATACGCGACAGGAACTGCCCCTTCCGCAAAACTGCTGACCTCCTGCTCAGAACAGTGCAGTGCGTGAAAGTACCCCGGAGGTGTCTGAAGCCTTTCTGGATTGCATCCAGCTTTTTGTTGGCATCGATGAAACTCGCAAGAAGGTTCTCGATCTCTGACACCTTGCTTTGCAAACAAAGGCACAACACGTGGAGGGAAGCGACAAGTGCAAATCATCTTGTCACAGTGTTGAATGGGAATTGGGCATCCAGAACGTTCGGATTTTCGGCAACGGACTCCATTGTAGTTCGCCAAAGGATGTTGACCTGTCTGTCCATTCAGCTGACTCGCACATGCCTTCTCCACAGAAACCGGAAGCCTGCTGGAAACGTTTGGCTTCACTGGGAAGCTGCTTCTGGATGTCATCTGAACTGAAGATCGGCCTCGGAATGCGAAGGATGCAGTCTGAAGGGCACAGCATGCTATCTCTATCAACTGCTAAGCGCCGTTCTCCAGGTACAGCCATGAGCGCTGCATCGCCAGCCATTGCTCCAGAAGGTCTTGGATGTAAGTGAGCTTCAACAGCCAATCCTGCCATTAGATGGATGAATTAATCCGCCATGCCTGGCATGCCACTCGGGTTTCTTGTCAAGCTGAGACCATGCATGGTAGCTGGATGTCATCATACTGGAGGCTTGCCAACCCGATCTGTCCTTCACTTCTTTCTCGATCGGCTCCACCTCGCAATCACAAGGCTCTGTCACAACCTTCCTCACTCTGACATGTCCACTCGAGATTGTCACGCGCTTCTGGGAGCCAGACGAAAGGCGAGCCACGAATACCCATTGATTTGACAATGTGGTCATCGAGCACAGCCTGCCGGCACTACCAGCACTGCCGGGCAATGCCATTCCCTGCGAATCGGTCAAGGTCTTCCCTGTGGTCGACTCTGAGTATGTACAAGTATGAAGCTAATGTGCCAGTCAACATACCCAGCAGCAGCACTTAGCTAGCAGAACCGTCTGAAGGAGCCTGGATCTCATCGATTCCTCTGACCATATGCGTGCCAGCTCTGTGTGGAACAAGGCCAAATTCGATTGGACGCCACCTGAGCGCGAGGCAAAGACTTCAGAGGGCACAAAAGAGCCGAGACAGGAGACCTCTGTCCTAACTCGTGACTCAGAGCTTGACTCTTTCTTCATGGTGGCCAAGGCCGTCTTGAGGCCGTGTTCCTTTTGCGCCTGACACCATGAGCCCGTGAAGCTTCGCTGTCTGAACGCCAGCACGTCTTGCTCACAAAGGACGGTATGTATCTGAGTGTCTGCTTGCCTTCACGCTGATCCGTTCCAGGGTGTCGATGTGGTCCAGGATGCCAATTTCCAGCATTTGTTGCAAGGTAATGCCATCCTGCTCACACGCTTTCCATACGACATACACCACCTGAACCAACCCGATGACCATGTGGATGAAGAGGACGGCACGATGGGCATGATCCCACTTAACCCAGCTTCATGGCTAGAGCAACCTGTGACACTCTCTGTGTGGACTTGGATATGCCGACTGCGGCAGACGGAATGCCAGGCAAGCACCTCCATGTCCATGTCCATCCGCAGCTCTTCGAAGAGATCCGAGAAGTGCCGTGGCTCGAAGGCCTGACAAGCCCAGAACGCCCTCAAAGCTCTTGTCGCTCTCCTCTTCCCTTGTCTCAGGCAAACTGTGCCTTCCTAATTCAGCAAGCCCCTGCTGGTCCGTTGATCCGTTGATTGCAGACATGTAAAGAGGCCCGTCACAGTGTTCGTGTGGCAGGAGTATCACTGCCAAACTGTCAGCGACACATGGCGTTCCAGGTTTAAGTAACATCAGCCCTCAAGCGCACACACCGCTCTACTGACTCATAGAGTTGCAACCCCACCCGATACTGCAAGCCCATGCACACCCGGAGAAGCAGTGCTAGAACAATCTGCCCAGCTTGACACAAGCCATGCTGGCTAGCTTTACCCTCACGGTCACCTTGGTAAATGAAACTCGGTCTTGTCATTTCCAGCCACAGCTGACCAAATCGGTATTTCTGTCTGCGCGTGAAGTTCTTGCAGTCTCAGTTACGGTTGCATACCCCACCCCAAGATCACCGCCCGCTTGGAATCTGGCTCCTAACCCACCGGGATACCGGACATCGAGAAAACAGGCTTTCGAACTCTTCAGGAAAGGGTCCAACATCTTTCGTACCGTGGGGCAACAGCGATAACCAATAACCAACCCTGCCCACACTGTCTTTCGAGCCTCCTGGCACAAGGCACGGATGACGGGCCTGGCGAAGGGAAGGACGAACTTGTGTTGTAGATAGCTAAGCTCGAACCCAGGCCGCCCGACATGTTGGCACGGAAGTTCGAGATTTCTTCTCGCAGATCCTGGCAGCACGAAAACGCTTCGTGCGGAGTGTACACCTTAACGCCCTAAACCCTAAACCGTACATTCAAAACCGACATCTCCGTCCTTGGCCACTGCCAGCGGATTCTCATTGCCTTCAAACTGCTTCATGGTCTTGTAGCTCTCCTTGTACCTTGGTACACATACCGTCCGGAACTCCTGAAATTAGACACACGTCATGGGGAGCTCTTTGGATTTGGGGTTTAGGGTTACTTCTTGGAATCCCAAAAGTACATTCCGACTCAGAGAACTCCAGTTGCGAAACACACCAACCCGATCCAACCCGCCCATACCCCAAAGAATTACTACCCTAAACCCCTCAACCCCCAAACAACCACAAACCCCATAACCCCTAAACCCTAAATCCCAAAACCACAAACCTTCCCTCCCACAAAAAAGCTCCCAAAGCCTTGAACTCCCCGCTTCCTTTTGGGCTCCCCGGCTGCTCTTCGACCATGGCCTCGATCTCTTCGGCCACCAGGCGCTGAACCACTCCCTGCAGCCACTCCTCCTCGGATGTCGGGAGGCGCCTTTCTCTTTGCTTCCTCCTCTCGTGAAGGCTTAGAAGTATGTTGTTGGGGTTGGGGGGGAGTGGGGTTTGCCGTCAGGATTTTTGACAGTAACCTTGCGAGATTTGCAATATGGAGGTTGCTCACAAGCCTTTGTTCCTCAGCAGAGCTAAAAAGCCCTTCGGGCTGGGAAGGGTTGAAGGGCTTAGGCGCAAAGCACGGATGTGTCAGTAAGACCCAAGGACGTGTCATGACACCTGCAGACATCATGATGTCCACTTGTTCGGCATAAGTCTGCAAAAACACGATCCACCAACGTACACGGAGGCCACACAGCGCACACACCGCGCACAACATGTCAGCTCGTCAACTGTTGAAACTTGCACCTCACGGTTAGAGAACATCCGAATCAAATACAAATGGCGGTTGCCATCTGTCGTCCTCGCCAAGCAAAGGCAGCAGCAGCAGCAGCAG